TATATAGCGTTATATTCTAATCGATACAAAATGATTAATTATTATATATCGATGATTATCTATTAAAAAACTTTTCTGATGTAGTATAGTTCCTAATATAAAGAAAGACAATAAGGATAATATAAATAAAATAGATACCGATTATATAATAAATACACTGTTCGAAAAATCAATCGCAATAGAATCATCTGACAAAGAAACGATCACTGAATTTGAAGTGATAAACAAAACTATAGAAGAGAAAAGTGATATTAATAAAATGTTATTAGAATATAGTAATAACAATAAAGAAGATTTTAAGAAACAATATATACATTCTATCTAATCTGACTATTCTTAGGAATTATACATCAATGATAATCTAAAAGGTTTCCAAGATCCTGTAAAGAAAGTCTCCATTAATAAAAGCATATCAGAACAAAACAGAACTAGTTAAAAAAAGCTAGAAGTAACAATACTTATCTCATAAAACAGTATCTTCACCTATTAGAGACTAATTAGAAAATTATGATGAAAAGCCACTCATAATTGAGAATTCAAAATTGGTTGTAGAACTTAATGAGACTATAAAAAAAAATAAGAATATCAATATAATATTAAAGCTGAATAAAAATCAGACAATTAACTTAAATTATTTTTAAGTTTTGACAGAACTAGTGATTGAATCTGTCTAAAAAATGCTACCCGGGTTACCTGACAGGTGAGTTATCAGCCACCCAGGTAGAACCTGAGTAGGTTACCTGACAGGTGGGCTATTGGCCATCCGAGTGGGTTGCAGCTATTTTTATAATTTATGGAGTATTTGATAACCAAATGATGTTCTGGCCGATTCAATATTGCATCTACATTATGAAAGTGTTGCTAGAACTACTAGACTTTATATGCCAGCTCTATAAAAGTTTTGAACAATATTATTTGTATACGAAAATTACATATCAAAAACTTACATGTAAAAATTACGCAAATTTTTACTCTATATATAAAAACATAATACAGGTTACCCTCGTTAATATCAATCTATTTAAATTGGCTTTAAATCATGTTGATATATTAATAAGGTTGATATTGATAGGGGTAACCTGTACTTGTATTCTATAGGTGATTTTAATATTATAAATAATGATATGTCAAATATTATTTGAATACTTGCCCAACATGTTTAGTATATATGTGTGAAACCAAATTATAATATAATTTATATGCATGTAATATAATTATATGCATACTGATCATGCTAAAATCAATAACTTAATCGGATAGGCTGAAAAATTATTTGGCCAATTTTTATTAGGTGTTCCAGGATAATGATAATAACTATAAAAAAAAATCACCCAGGTAGCAAAGATACAGAATTATAAATGTTGATTACTGATGATTACAGCTGCTATTATTATTTCTGTAACACCTTATGAAAAAAATTAACTGAATATTTATTCTGTCAATTTGATAAGTTATTGATTTTGATATGATTAGTGTAATATTTATTATTTATGGATATAGTCACTAATAGATTTTGTAAATTAAAACTTATATGAATTATATAAAATACTACAAGGCCTCCATTTTAACATCCTAACCACTTCTATCTCTATAATTCACAAATACCAGTCGGGCTTTTCTTTTTCGTTAAAGTCTTAAAATATTTTCTTTAAGTAATAAATATTATACTGACTATACCAAAATCAATAATCTATCGAATTAGCAGAATAATCATTCGGTAAATTTTTTATAGAAATAATAACAACAGCTATAATCAGGTATTCTGTTCTAATTTTGGGTGCCCAGTTGATAAAAGTATTTGACTTGACAGATCACAGGTAAAAATTTTCAAATTATTTACAAGTGTTTCAGAAATTATGATAATAGCTGCAACCCACGGGTGACCCACCTGTTTTCACCTGGGTTGTTACAATACAACTTGGGTCACCCATGGGTGAACAGGTGATCTGAGTAGTCACCCACCCAGGTCCAATCACTAGACAGAACTATAGAACTATCAAGAGAAGCGCAATTAGGTAGAACTACCAACAACTTAGATTTTCAAAAAAGTGTTGGATTATCAGAGAAAAACTGCTAAGATATGAACAAATACTTAAGGCTTCAGAAGAATAACAACTTTTTCAGTAAATTTTAACCTCTTTATGAAAGCTATAATAAAACTTTGAATCTGAAGAAAGACCTTAATATATCGGCTTTTACCTCAGAGAGTGAATTAAACAAAATATCTAAAGATCAGAAGAGACCAAGATGCAAGAGAGCCCAAAACAACTATATCACAAAGAGTAAAACATTACAAAATAGCTTTATATCAAAAAAGCCTCGAGTTATAGATACTAATCAAAAGATTAAAAAATTTAATGCTTCAAGTATAGAACCAAATAACGAATACACTGATTCTAAAAACAGTAAGAATTTTAATAATAATAAAATTAAAGGATTTAGTCTTGAGAAATTGTATAATAAAGAAACAGTAAAAATTTTAATAATAATAAAATTAAAGGATTTAGTCTTGAGAAATTATATAATAAAGATAAAGTTTGGATAGCTACAGAAGAAAATGAGTTAGAATGTAATCTAGTAACAAATAATATAAAATAGAATAGATCATCAGAAATCAATTCATTTACTACAAATAATATTCATGAATTGTTAATTAATAGCATGTTTAATTTGCTAGTATAATATAGTGATAGTAGTAAATCTATATAAAAAGCAAATAAAAAATTAGACCCAATATTAAAAACTAAAAAGAAATAGAGAAAACAAAAAGCAATATTAGTTAACAAAGTTTACAAGAAGAATTCATTTGCTAAAGATACTGATACTAGTGGTAGTTAATGTAAATGTATGACTATAACAGAAAATAATTTATGTACAAACTCTTGTAGAATTACAATATCACAGTTTCTTTTACAATTGGAAGAATTTAAGAGAATTTGTAAATTATATTCTTGTGGTATAACTAAATCTAGAGTTAAATATATGTTGAACAGTATAGCAAAGATTTGTCATACTTTCAATGAAAATTTACCACTTCTTTTTGATAAATTATATAATATTTTTTCACAAATATATAATATAATACTTAACAGAACTTATACCAAAACTGTAAAAAAACAACTAGCCAAAATAATATACAATTATGTAAATATACAAGTTAGTAGAATTATTTTTGTTAATACAAGCTGATATAGATAATATTTGTAAAATATTTCAAGCTAATTATTTTTTTTAATTGTTAAATGAAATCAAATTAATTGATTAGATTTAAGAAAAGCTATAATTAATTATTCGCAGAGCTCATAATTAAGCAGAAAGAAGTATTAGACCTAAAACTTGTTAATCACGACCACTTCTAATCTTACATGATTGATAATATATAAAATATATAACAATGTAATATATGTATCAAGAATTTTACAATTTTTACAATTTTTATTATTTCTTTAATTTTTTATTTTCTTTTATTTCTTTTAATATTAGTTATATTAGCTTACTCATAAAATTATTTCATAGAACAAATTTAGTATAGTTGATAGATATAATATTATCTGGTCCAAGAATATATATAAATAGTCTTGTTATTTTCTTTCTGAATTAGTAGTTTCTCATATAACAAGTAATAAAGAATAAACTTATATTATTATAACTACTTATATCTTTATATATATTTAGCTATTTGCTTTTTTGTAACTACAAATCACATAATTCTCTTAAAGCATAACTGCAATAAACCATATATTTTACTTAAATAATAAATACAGCATTGTTATTATTCATCTAACATATCTGTTACTAAAATAGAATTGTTATACTAAACTTATAAAATATAGTTTTTAGATGTAACAACACTAACAAAAAGTTTTTCTTATGTGATTTTACTATAACCACTTAGCTTTTAACTTTATACTAAACACCAATCCTAATATTAATAAACTTTAAAAAATTTTACATGATAATCAGCAATATATATAACTAAATACAGATTTTGTAAATGCTATATAAAGATCATTATTTCGAATTTATTAATACTTAAATTTCAATATTATCATTAATTAATTTTTTAGTGATTTATACTAGATGATTATAAAAATACTTATAGAACTAAATATATATTTTTAGTACAAGTATCTAACAAAAGATATAAATTTTTTTTTAATTTAAAGCTCTCAACTAGCTTTATATAGTAATAGAACTATTTTTTTAAACAGTTTATCAAAATTATTTAATTATTATATAAATATTGATTATTAATTATTTAATTAATAGTTACAATTTTTTTTTTCAAAATTATTTCTATTAGCATATAGAGCTAGCCAAAAGTTTCAAATTAAAAAAAATTATATGTATTTTTGTTAGATACTTGTATCAAAAAATATAAATTTGGTTTAATATTTAAATATAAATCTATAAAAAATTTAAAATTAATAATCTTTATATATTACTCTAATTATGTTTTAATTATTAATTGAGATGCAACCCTACTCCAATATGATATTATATTTTTTTTTCACTAATTGGCAAAATGTAAAAAACCTCAGATAGTTTATATAATTTGTTTAAGAAAATAATATTAAATTTTTCCTATTATATGATATTTGAAATTCTTTTAGTAATAATTTTTTTAATATCAATATCTTATAAACTATAAGTTAGAATCAAATAATTTTAATAGTATATGAATTATTTAATTAGGTTATATTAATTAGTATTAAAATTATTTGATTCTTACAGATCAAAATAAAATATATTAGATATATTTTAACTTCTGATATGAACCTGATATTTGCAGAAATTGATGCAAATCAAGCACCTATAGATGACTAATTAGAGTTATGGGCCGGTGCAAAAAGATTTGCGCCTCACCAAGAAAAGGTAAGATTACACAAAGATCAAATGTTATATAACTGAACTTAAAAATCTTGAAATTCATACATTTATTAGAATATAACCAAACATATCTACGGCTAAATTTTTTTTTGTTTTACAATGATTACTT